GTAATAGAAATTATAAATGCAATACTATTATAAACATATAAAAATAATTTTATAGATAATGTAATTATAAAATACAGATACTATTTTAAATTTATTTTAAAGTGTAAACCCTAAGAATTAGAGCTCCAGCCCACAAAATGACGCTGTTTTTCTAGTCATATGATAAAATAGTTGATCAAGATGAAAAAAGTGGTAGCATTCCAGAATGGCCGCTGCTTTTGAAACTTTGTTTCTATGAGACGTAATGATCTTGATGCTATTAGAAACTTTGTTTTGTTGGGAAAATTATTGTTGACTTCGAAATTCTCATTAAGCCCTTCCATAATTACGATCTTAAATTCTTGTAACTATTTAATAATAAAAATCTAATGCAATTTCCGAATTGCAAATTGTACAGATGTTTGAGTTGCGAAATCTTCATAATTCATAAAAGCTGGTTAGATTAGATTCATTAATAGTTGAAAAATGGACTTCGGATCATTAAACTTCATAATATTTTTAATTTCATTATATATTTTGAAAATCTGTAAAAAAAATTAGTATTAGAATAAGCTTCAATATAACTTTCAAATTGTACAAATTTAATTTACCTATTATATCATTAAAATTAAAAAAATTACTTTTTCTGAATGATATATTTTTTATAGAGTTCGTATGGGTCTTTAGTCTTTTCTACTTTATCTGAACGAAGCATCATGTTAAATTTCATTTGGAGGTTTTAGTAATAGTAATAACCTTTTCGTCAAGTTTTCTTTATCAATTCATACCGCTTGAGCAGCATTTAAATAGATTTATATTTCTTTGGATTACATCATTTAAACTTTAATTAGCGATTAGTCTTTAAACAAGACATTATTCAGAATCGAAAACAACCAACAGTATATAGTAATTACTCAAAGTCAGAAAAAGAATTCAAGCTGAAGAAATGTTAAGAAAAAGATCGAAACCCACCTAGTAAAAAAAGAATGTGTAGTAGTCAAATATATTCAGAATTAACTGTTTATAACATTTAGCAGATATTAGTTTTACTTACTTGATCTTGTTAAATATTAACTTGTGAAAAATTTAATTAATTTTGATAATCTAGCATCTGGACAATGGATTCGATTATAGACATATTATAATTAATTAATGATGCTGTTGAATTCTTTAGGATTATCCTAGTTAGATTTGACAGTTTAAGTAATTAATTAATTAATGATGATAATAGACAAATAAATGAATAAACAATATTTACTTGTACTATTATTCCAATTTTTACATTTAATAGTAGTATCATGACAATTTAATATATTTTGTCTTTGTAAATATAAAATAAATATTTATATCATAGTTAGTCTACAGTAACGCGCTCCTTAGTTAGCATATATCCTATTCACCTATTAATTCTAGGAGTGCTAAGTGACTAAGGAAGAGAGGCTCTATGCTGAAACATAGGCCACGAAGAGCTTTCAATTTTTCTCGGATATTTTATACTAGTGAGGTTGCATAACTTCGGATATATGATAACTCAACAAAATACTTAGTGAAAAAGCTTACGCTCTATTTATAAATGATTCCAATACCAACACATTTCACAATTTCTTTGTCAGAGAGAAAGTGCTTAAATTGCCTGACGAAAAGGTTCGTTATAACAGGTTGAGGCGATTTGCATCCGCGCTTTATCTTTTATAGATGGTTTACTATTGAAGAACTGATAGAACGTTAACGACGCGTTTACAATTTACTAATTTTAATCAGGGCTAGGTCAAATGCAACGTGAATTATTTGATATCGAAAAAATTTATTTGGGTACGTATTTTTATTAAAAAAATGGGTAATTTTAAACATTTTGATTATTAGACTTTTAACTTTGATATATATATACTTCGTACGCCATATGGCGTTCTATGTCATGATATCAATATTCTGATCAACATTCACAAAACTTAATTGCTTAAAAAAAACGCGTAAAATTTGTCTTACATTAAATTTGGGTAAAATTCTGCTAACATTAAATTTGGGTAAAATTCGGCTAACATTAAAAAAATTTGTTAAGAAATTTGGCTCCAAATTTTTGCCAGTCCCTGGCCATCTTCTGCGTACTACAAAAAATTCCTTGCTATATAATTAAGATGTCACGTTTTAAAAAGGATGGCGACATGCGAATAATTCGCTAATAAAAACTTGGAGGAAAATTAGCAGTTAATAAGTTCAGTATTCTAGTTAAGGATTTGCATATTTGGGCCCAAGTGTATCCCAAAATATCAAAACCGCGAATTTATTATTTGCACGAATTAGCCGATGAAATTTAAGAAACGAATGTCTAAATCTATCTTGGTGCATTATGAAAAAAAATGTGGGTATGATTTTATTTATAGAGATCTTCTCCATACGAGCCCTAATTTAATTAAAACTACCCAAATTTCTTAATAAAATTTTCTAAATCAGTAAAAATAGATTTTGAAAAATATTTTTATAAAACACTTTCAAATTCATAACACATTTTCATAACGATTCTTGATTAGAACATTTAAAAATACGTATGAATGCATAGCAGCAAATAATTATTTGATTTTACTGCTACAGTACCTAATTAAGTTATAGATCAAGAATGATACTCTTTGAAGGACCAAAAAACTGACCATATATTTAACATGATATCAGTGTAATATAAGAAGGTATAAGCGAGTAAAACCAATTGTATACCCCTTTTATTAATCAATTTATAATAAACCATATTTTACAATTAAAAATGAGTAAACTATTTATTATTTATTCCTGACAATCAAGTCATTTACTATTAATGTACAATCGATTTAAGAAAATAAAAATAAAAAAAAAAGTTAAAACAATCATTACAACATTATCGAATTTCCTTTTCTTGATAAACCAAGCAATTTTATTTATTTCCCCATTGTTCACAACTTATCAGCTCTTTATTACGGAGCTGGGAGAAAACTGACTAGTACAACAAAAAAAGATTAGTTCAAATATTTAATGTAAAAGCATTTAAACCAAAATATTAATACTAACCTTTGCGATCATAGTTATTTGTTCTTGTGAGTCATTAATATTAGCCTTTTTGGTATACTTAATTATTTCACGGATCAAATTATTTAATATTTGTTCTGATACTAAAAAATTGGTTATTCATATTAATTAAGACAATAAAAACCTACATTATAAAAACATATATTTAAAACCAAAAAATGTTGACAATTACCTCGTACATATGACCCACTAAGAAAAGGATCAGATAATAATTCTGGAATTGTAGCTCGATCTTTAGGATTTCTTTGTATACAACTTTTCATGATTCTTAGCAAATTTTCGTCGACCGGAATTTCTTGGCTTGCACCATTTTCGTCAGTTAAAGGTGCTTGATTACCATTATATATCGGACTGGAAGTCGAAGGAAACTCGATATGATAGTCTGGATCAGGAATGCATTTGAATTTTTGATACATATTTAAATGAGCAAATGGGGTACGACCATAAACTAGTTGATAAAGGATGCAGCCTAAAGACCAAACGTCACTTGCACGTCCCAGCTATACCAAATAAATGTACAATAAAATCATTATATATTCATAGATGGCTTCAAAGAAAAATGATATCAACTTACTTTTATTAATTTTTCCCCCCCAGATTGATTATTAGCAGCATTTAAATCCTGAATAGCTTCTGGTGACATATAATTTATTGTTCCAACCTAAAAAAAAAAATAAAAAATTAAAGATAAAAACTTGATCAAGTAAAAAACTTAATAACATCCATTTAAGCATTAAATTATATACCTGTTGTTCTCGATGAATGTTCGTAGTATCATTCTGTATAGTTCTTGCTATACCAAAATCAATTAATTTTAAGGAACCTTCAGTTACAATAAAGTTTGCTGGTTTCAAATCTGAATGAACAATTTTTTCCGAATGAGTCGTATAGACAGCTTCAAGCATCTATATAAATAAATAAGGAAAAAATTTACATTAAAAAATTGTTTCATCACATCTAAAATAAATCTTTTTTATATGGTACCTGCTGCCAACATGTTCTGATAAAATCTATCTTTATAGGTTTTCCAATTTTACTATTGAGTAAATGAGCCAAGTCAATTTGCCCACATTCCATTAACTAATAACAATAATAATAATATAACTGCTCATTAATCATATAAATAAATATATTAAAAAAAAATATAAATAATAGTTTGTTAAAATATACTCAACCATTAATATATATCCTTTGTCAGTGTTAATCTCGTGATCGTATAATTTTATTATACGATCTCTTCCAGCTAATTTTTGTAATAATTCGACTTCATTGATATAACCCTTAATAGTGTTTTCGTCCACATTACTAGTTAAGACCCTTTTCAGAGCAAAAACTTGAGAATTCGAATCTATGACCTTATATACTCTGCTGCTACCACCACGACCGATGCATTTTGTACGCGTATAAGCCTTACCGTTGAGCTATCAATCTTAAATAATTAATATATATATTGTATGAAAATATAAATTTTGGTGAATTAAGTTTACTTACTAATATAATATCTTTATTTGTATTCGTATCATTTGTATACGGCTCCAGTTTTACATCCTCTTTATTTATATTTGTATCATTTGTATCTGGCTCCGGCTTTGCATCCTCCTTATTTATATTCGTATCATTTGTATCCGGCTTTGCATCCTCTTTATTTAGATTCGTATTATTTATTTCTGACTCCGGAGTTGCATTCAATGGCTTTGCTTCAAGAATATCATTTATTTCTGGCTCCGGAGTTGCATTCAATGGCTTGGATTCAAGAATAATACTAAGCACATCCTTTTCTTTTTGAATCAGCTCCTCGTTTATTTTTACTCTTTTCGGTGGGCCTAGTGAATATTGTTTTAAGTTGATAACACGAAATAAAGCCTAAATCGTCGATTCAATAAAAGACCAATATATATTACTAAAAATTTAATTAATTACCCAAATTTTTGCCTAAATTTATAGTTTTTCTTCTGGGTCTTACGATCGCTCCTAGTTTTGTTTCCGTATCAAATTTTGTCGAATCTACATTTTGAGTTTGAGCCGGCGTTTCATAGGCCTTGTAACAATAAAATGATTTAATTAATAAAATCTTCGGATAAAATGTCGGATAAAAACGCGAAAAAAAATTTACATGTATCGAAAGTTTCATTGCAAATGAATAGCACACTATCTTTGTCAATTGTTCAAGTAAGTTTATATCACATGTCAGTCAACCAATCCCAGTAGCAAGATTTCGTGTAACACTAAAATTCAAAACAACAAAAAATATATAGGGAAAGAAGTTAATTGAAAAACACGATAATTAACATTTGATAAAACATATGATATCAGACACAAACGAAATAAATAAATTTAACGATTTATAATGAAATGAGAGTCTCTTAAAGACAAATTTATAGTAGTTTCGGTACGCGACAATTAGAAGTAGGCGAAGCACGGATCGTCACACAAGCCACCATCATTGCCACCGCCACCATGTTCGATATCAGTCAGACATTACAGATCATCCTAACAAAATTTTATGATTTTGCCATTCTAACAGCCGGCAGGCAGAAAGGAAAACCAAACCACTGGCAAAATAAGGCCTCTTTAAGATTTTATTATGCTCATACATGTGCATGCCTTTTTTTTTGGATTTTTTTACGTACCAAGCTTTTCCGCATATATCTGATATTATATGTATTGAATTTTAAACACTGTAACACAAACGCAGAAAATAAGATAAAATAGCTTTTGTTTAAATGCTTTTCGTCGTACGTAGAACGTACATGGCATTTACTTTATTATCGTTATTTTTTGAATTTGACCAATAAAAATGTTTGTTAATATAAATCCGGATTTTAACAATTCGACACTAAAAATTCGGATTTAAAGATTTAAAAAAATAAATTCTTTTCCAAAATCTATTAGTCTACATTCATTCACTCATTCATTCATTCATCCATTCACATATTTCTATATTTATCTCGAATAAAAAAATTATTCTTGACTCATATTACTGTATTAGCACAGCAGGACTCCAAATAATACAAAGTGCCAATGTTTTTCGATCTCCGGAAATTTATCTCCACCCTATTGTGTCACCATATCGACATTATAGCGATGATTTCGCGTGACTGACCATTTGTAAACCTTTACCACGCTTCTCTCTCACAATTTTTTGCTAGCATTTCACCAAAGATAACAAAATAATGTTGAGTACATATATTATTGATTTTTTAAAAGTAGTGATATCAATAGTGTCTGTTATACTACTCATTTTACTAGGTAAGATACTGGTAAGATTAGTTATTTTTTAGATTAGAAGGAATTTTCTACAAGTTTTATTAATTTTTAAAACTTGTTTACAAATCAATATACCTCTGATCTGAGGTTATTTACCTTTGATAATTTTTTTTAATCTTTTTAAACTTCTTTTGATCTAACAGCCTGGTGGATCTTATGGAAGCTAATTCTAAGTCAAGTAAATTTCTTTCGTGAACTTGCTGGACTTCCGAAGCTTCCTAAATCTCCACCACCAAAAACTCATAAAAAACGTCAATCCTCACAATATTCCATACCGAGTTCGCCTATAAGTCAACATAGTCGACACTCTTCTTCGTCTTCAAAGAGACTTAGTAGACAATATGATAAACGTTAGGGTTGACGATCAAACCTTTTTCTTGAACTATGACATTACTATATAATTTGAGTTTTGGAATCGGATTCTACCTTATTTGAGATAATAATCAAAACCCAAATATATATCCCATTTTTAGACAATAATGTCAAACTCAAAAATCAAGGCGATAAAAATTACTAAAACTTTACTATTTTCATTTTTAGATTAAGACAGGACGTGCTGAAATAAAAGCGATGTTAGGTCTAATGGTTATATAGAATATGTATACAATTAGTGAAAAACAATTATAAAAAGTGAAACTTTCCTTCAAAATTCGGAGTTGCAACATATGACGCAAATTGTAACTTACATCATAAATAGTTTATTTCATGCGTAGTTTGATTTTCGTTACGATGTGTATTATATATTTGTAATATTAATTTGAAATTCTCTTTAAAATAAATAAAACGTTGCTTGTTTTCAAAAAAAAAACTCACTTCTAACATTGCGAATAAATGATCAACCAAATAAAAAACGAAAGCTAGGTGGACTAAATTTTGATGAAATTGAACGGTATTTATATGAACACAACATCTCTACTCCCTGGACACGTGGAATCGCCACTTGACCGCTTGGACAAAAGTTTTTTAATTGAATGGAACCTGAATCCCATATTTGGGAAATTCGATGTGCGGCAATCCATTTATGATGCAAGACACGATGGCATCATTATTTTTTTTATAACCAATTCCGTCATATGGCCTCAAGCGATCGCAAAAACAGGAATTTTAGTTCGGATGAAAGAAAGAAAGAAACGAAAGAGAGGATGTATTAATTGGGGTGAGTAATTGAGTATCGGGTATCTTAAATTCTTGCTAACGCTAAACGATGACGACTGAGGAACTTTTGGCAATAAAACATGACTTGCACATTCTGATAGGCGCAAATTATCATCAAGAATGTCAAGTGATCAAAAAACATCATTATTGTCTATTAGTAGTCAACCTTATAAATTCAACAACTAACATTAACCTTCAGCATCTTGGAATAATATCTGCTAATAATCCAGTGCATCGTAAATCAAGTTTAGATACTGTGCCAAACGAAAACTCATTATAGAAAGACTAGTGGTTGCGGAATTGATAAAGAATGAATAAAACCTCTAAAAAACTGCACTACTCATATGTCTTTAGAAAAACTCTTATAGCCATACTATATATTCGTCTTATACAACAGATAGTGTACAATAATATTGATTGTTCTAAGTAAATGTTTTATTTCTTTTTTGAAATATTAGAATTACAAATTTGATAAAGATATCACAGCAAGTTGAATGTGTTGTATACTACATTTAATTAAACTATTATAATTTTTGTTCAAATATAATATAAATATACACATTCTTTTAAATAATGTTCATCCTCCATATAGTCACCTCCCATATAATCACGTCATATGTAATCACATTTTATTTAGGCCAAACTATATTTAATTTATAAGAAAAAAAACCTCCATATAAGCACAACCCCTCTATAAGCACATTTTAAAAAAAGTTACTATGTGCCCAACTGTGTGATTGTATGGGAGGATGACTGTATTTTACCAAAATTCTTGTGGAAATCCATTAAATTCGGCAATTTCATCTACTTTAGCTCCCGTAGGAGTAGAATATACTATCCTAAGTCGTAACCTAACGTTCGACTGAGAAACAAATTAAAAGTTATTAAAATTAAATAACGTATATAAAAGCACGTTTGGATTCTGTGCCAGGTTATGCCGATCATATGGCGCAGATCCTAATAATAGATTCTAAAGTTTTTTAAAACTTCTAGCGATGATTTCTCAATAACTATTTGATCAAGTTCAGTAAAATTTTTTTATTTCAATTCTATAGATTTGTGGAATTAAGATAAAAAAAAAACTTATTGAATTTTGTTCAGTAGTTATCGAGAAATCATCGCTAAAAGTTAAAAAAAAAAAAGCAAAATATCGGAAAAAAACATCGGGTAAATCAAATTCGATGAATTTTTTTTTTTTGATTCTGTGGATTAATATGTCTGAAATAAAAAAATATTGATCAAATTGAATAGCAGGTTGTTGAGAATTATTCATTAAAAGTTAAAAAATTTTGGCCGAGCTTCTTTAAGACATCTAAACTTTGAACGAAAATTACTCAGCGCTTACCTGGTCAAATTCGATCGATTTTTTTTTTTATTTTAATTCTATGTGTGTATAGAATCTAAATAAAAAAATTTTGATCGAATTTGATCAGGTAAGTGCTGAATAATCTTCGTGCACCTAAAAAAAAAAAACTGTGGTCAAATTTTTTTACAAGGCTTAATGAATATTTTTCGACAATAGGCTATCCAAATTCGAGCAAAATTTTTTTATTTTAATTCTATGAATTCACAGAATTAAAATAAAAAAATTTTACATCAAATTCTGATAGTTGATTTTTGTCATTTAAATTTAAATAAAAAAATCCATTGTAACATTTCTTTTTCTTAAATTTTTTGAAAAACTTAAAACAAAAATTCCTCGACAACAAACTATCAGAATTTGATGACTTCTTTTTTTATCGTAATTCTATGAGCCCTAGAATTAAATTAAAAAAAAATTGACTGAATTTGAATAGCAGGTGTCGAGAAAGATTCATGAAACGTTGAAAAAAAGTTTGACCGCAGCTTCTTTTTTTAAGACATCTAAACTCTGAACAAAGTAGGGAATTGACTCGACAAAAAAATCGTTGATCCGATGATTGATCAAAAAAAATTATTCTTAATCGATCAAAAATCAATTATATATGTTTGATCGAGTATGATCGATCAAGAATGGAATTTATAAGCTCGAGCATACATAATCGATCAATTATTGATCGATTATATTATGCCTACGTAGAGATTGACTCGCGTTCCATCCGTTATAAAAACAAACCGAGTCACTTTAATGACTTCAGTAGCCCGAGTCACCCAAGTAGCAATAGTCATGATCCAGTTGATACGTAGATCTTACACGGGTTACCTGGGTGACTACCATAATGATACCTATTTTTTTTTTTTTTACTGTACAAATTTTCTTGATCGATTATTGATTGACTCGCTTTTGATCGAGCCCATAACATCGACCAATGATCGAGGATTATATAATCGAGGCAATTCACTAGAACAAAGATTACTCAACGCTTGCCTGATCAAATTCGATCAATTTTTTTTTATTTTAATTCTATACGCTCATAGAATTAATAAAAAAAATTTGATCGAATTTGACCGGGTAAGTGCTGAGTAATCTTCATTCAAAGTTTAGATATCTTAAAAAAAGAAGTTGCGGCCAAAATTTTTTAACTTTTAAAGAATGTTTCTCAACAACTTACTATTCAATTTGATCAATATTTTTTATTTCAAATATATTAATCCACAGAATCATATAAAAAAAAATTCATCAAATTTGAATAGTTGGGTGTCGAGAAATCTTTGTTTAAAGTTCAAAGAAGGAAAATTTTACCCGATTTGTTTTTTTCCAAGATATTTTGCTTTTTTTAAAACTTTTAGCGATGCTTTCTCGATAACCACTGAACAAAATTCAATAAATTTTTTTTTTTATTTTAATTCCGTAAATCTATAGAATTAAAATAAAAATTTTTACTGAACTTGATCAAGTAATTATTGAGAAACCATTGCTAAAAGTTTTAAAAAACTTTAGAATTATTAATAGGATCTGCGCCACATGATCGGCATAACCTGGCATAGAATCCATACGTGCTATATAAAAATATCTCAAATATGGTCTTTACCTTTTGAGGATTAGCAACACGAATTATTTGTTGTGTTGTAGCACCGGGTAAAATAGAAGTCGATGAAGGTGGTTGCATTTGTAGTTTCTGAGTCTAAAATAATTTAAAAAACAAGAAAAATTTTTTTTTAATATAAAATAAAATGTGTAATATTCTAAAACTAAAGTAAAATCTTTAGTTCACCTTTGGAACAGCCGCCTGGAATAAAAGGTTTTGTATAGTTACACCTACACCGATGTTATGAAAAGTAACTTCAATGTTAAGAATATTAGAATTGGTTGGGTCTTTAGAAGGATTTAAAGTAATTTTGAATCCATTCTTGTTATATGCTACGTATTGGTCTAAATTGTAAAATTAATAAATTAGTAAAAGATATGAATCTAAAAATTTTTATCCATTTTCAGTTCCTATAAAATATGCTTATACCTGCAGCTGGAGGTGTAGTAGTAGTAGTTGTTGTTGTTGTTGTTGTAGAACCACTACCGAATATGTCAGCCAGAATGTCTACGTTGGGTTTATTGTTTTCAGGAGCATGTCTTATACCTGCAGGTGTCACTGGAGGAGTAGTGGTTGTTGTTGTTGTAGAACCACTACCGAATATGTCAGCCAGAATGTCTACAGTGGATTGATTGTTTTCAGGAGCATGTTGTTTAGATTGAACTGGATTGTTTCCACCAAAATCTACAAGTGTCTTAAAAGAAAAATAATAATCACCGTGTTAACATATGATACAAATGTGAAAATTTTTTATCACTAAACACCACTTACATCTATGCCACCATTTGAACTACTAGCACCGATATCATCTAAAAGTGAACCCGTATCTTCGGCTATTATCAAAATGAAATGTCAGTAATATGTGAATGAAATAATTAACTTTACCAAAAAAAATTTAAATAAGTATTACTTGGACGAACAACTTCTTCTTTGACTTCAGGAATCGGCATTCTTTCCAAAACTGCCGGCCGGATCGATTCAAATTTAAACAGGTTGCCATATTCAACAGCACGTTGTTGAATCTCTACTTCAATACTAGTATTATATTTTTCAATATAAGCTTGAATACGTTGAATGGACGATATTGACGTGAATCGTGAAGTCAATTTCATAAGTGCAGTAAGAACATATTCCCGAGTTACTTGGTTAGCATAAGGTCCGGCAAGAATTGACTCCAGAAGATCAATAACATCTGATTCGGTAACCTATTAACAAATACTCTAGTTATATATTACGCAAGTATTCCAACTATTTATAATATATGAACGAACCTCCTTGACAAGTTCTTCCTCTTCAAAGTTGCCGCCTTTTATCAATATATCACCATATTCTCCAATTACCCATACACCAGCTAAAGTTAATGATTCCTAGATATTATTATTTATTAATTTGCTGACAAAGAAACAAAGAGTTACAAAGTATCAATAAATAAATAAATTACCTGTGAAATGTCAGATTTTAACGATGCATATAATTTTTGGGCCGTATATGCATTTAAATCGGCCGTCTGGGCAATCAGACGAATAAAATTTGATAAAATTTCTTCACGAACATAGTTTCCTGCCTACTCCAAATACAAATAACCACAAATATATTACCGAGAGAAATTGAAAATATTTTATACAATTTTAGGAATTTACCAGTTTCAAAACACGTAACACTGTATCAATGTGCCATCGTTTATTAGGAGCGAATCTATTAAATGAAAATAACTTAGTCATATTTTACAAAATGCAATTACGATAAATTACGATAAATTAAATATAAACCTAACCTATCAGCAGCCAAGCAAATTTTTGTTGTCATTCCCTGTTTAAATTCATTATCGGCAACTTCCAAAAAGGCCAATAACTCGCGTGTTAACACTCTAACATTTGACTCGTTAATTAATGCAAATGAAAGCTCCAATGCTCGACGTCGTATAGAGATATCACCATCTCGCAAACAGTCAAGGATGATATTTCTATGACGTTGAACTGCATTTGTGTCTATCGCTACCGTCTTATTAAGTGTGGTCAATGCGACATATCTAATGTAATCATAGTAAAATCGTCAGATAATAATAATAATAATAATAATAATAATAATAAATATCTTAATACCTAATATTATTATCTCTGTTTGTTAAAAATTTGCCAAGAATATTAATGGCTAAAACACGAAGGCCACTTTCAGATTGGATTTCCATAATAGTTTGTACAGTTTCATACAATATCGAATTACCAACATTTTTTGATGATTCAGTATTTGTAGCAACCTATAAATAATACACCGATAGAAGGATTTTCAATAATTAAAATTTAATAATTAAACTAACATTATAAATACGAACCTGAGCAAGAATATCATTCATTGCTTCACTTGCTTCAGCATCACCTTTACCTAAAATTCGTAAGAGCCTCAATATTTTAACCTGCAAAAACGGATCTGTGACACCTGTTACATCGTGCTCTTGTGAAAATCCAGCTGAAACCAATGTTTTCAAATGTCTAACCAATAACGGAACCGTCTATTATAACATTCCAGATATGAAATTATTACAATATAATAAAAATAATAAATTGATAAAAAAATTATTAACCTTGCGAAAAGTTTGTACAGTTTCTGGATTTTTATAGCACATCTCAATGATAAGAGTAATCGCTGTTAACAGTACGCCATGATTTCTATCATTCAAATTATTTTTTGCCCTATTCAAAAAATTTTCTTGTAGATCAGAAACTTTACGAATGATTCGCATCGCACACAATGCAGCCTTTTTTTTTTTTATTTTCCCCGAATCGAAAAAGAAAAGAAAAATATATATATTAAGATTAAATTACAAGATGATAATTAAAACGATACCATAATGAAAATTGCAATTAACCTTCTTTCGGATATATGTGTTGGTGCTACCTAGTAATTTTTCAACTTCTGCACATAAATCACGCGCCATTTCGGGAGATGATATATTTCCTAAAGTGCATAATGCTAAACCAACAATATACATATTGGAATGGTTCATATCGCTGAATTCGAAAAAGTAATTTCCGTGTCAAAGATAAAATTAAAAAAAAAATATAGACTATTCCGCGTCTTAAACCATTTGAAACAAAAGATTATATATAAAATTACTTTTTCAAAGAATTCGTGACTAATGTCAGCACTTCTTGGTTTTCGTCCAATAAAAGCATGATTCCTAAATAGCCTAGCCTTTTATCCGCAAATCGATTCGACGCTACTAATTTTAAACATTCGATTTGGCCAAAGTGAGCTGGATAGCCAAGCATATGTATATAAAGTAATTTGGCTACATTTGAATGACGAGCGTCATTATTTTCTTCTTTAAAACTGGTACGAATGGCAGCCGATTCTTTCTGGATGACCGCTCTTTCATCGGCAGCAGTCTTGCAGGCACGTATGGCCTTTATAAGATCTTGGAATGAAAGTAAGTTTTAAGAAATCTACTATAATAAGCATCAAATATAAATAGCATTTAATTATACCTTTAAGACGGTAATATGGCATAATCCTCAAAAGATCGTACACGTCGTGGCTAAGAAATTCCTGTAAGATAACCAACTCTATAAGCTGATCTCGTGATTAAACTTGTCCATAACCGGAAAATGTCATATAAATATCTGACTGAATACACAATGATATTAACTAATTAAAAATCTCGATAAGATTTAGAAAAAATCTATAACTAATTAACTAATTAAGTCTTGAAGGATTCTTTCAAATTGCTCGAACCTGTCCGTTATATCAAGACACAGTGTACTTACATATACGTACATATCGATATTATATTTCTGATATCGACTTAAGGCCATTCAAAGCTAATTCATTGATCCTAGAGGTTACGTACAACCCGTTATTTTTGCATTACAAATTAGGCTGTTTTTGGCGCAGTTTAGCCTGCTCAAACTTTGATTGGTTATACGTACTGTATCAACGACTATTTAATAAAATTTAATAAAAATTTTTTATCTTAATTCAAATTTGGGCCCGATTAATATTGATTAATAGATAGGATTTAGGCTTTTGTACTACTGGTAGTACACTTAGAAAAATAGGTTAAAAATCTAAAAAATTACTTATCTAAAAAATTTTTATATACAAAAATCTGATAATTGCCAAAGTATAGTTTGGCAGATTTTTTTTTAATATTAATAATAAAATTTTTTTTTAAAAAAATTTTTTTTAACTGCTATTTTTTGCAAATTTTAGTGTACTACTTGTAGTACACTACTAACATGAATTTTAT